CTTTACATTTAGGTTCACTTTGCGCACATTAATTTATGCATTAAGCATTATATGTTCATACTGAATAAATATTACAGCATTATGTAATATATTGATAGCTATGAATATGATATTGCTCATTGTCAATCATGCAATAGTTCACGTTAAAATACATATTTGATACTTAGTTATATTACAGCATTAGTTTTTCAAAACTAATAACGAACTATTAATCTTGCAGCATTTAGTATTATTAATTTTTTGATTGTAAATAATTATGCAATGGTATGCTATATATATATATATATATATATATATATATATATATATATATATATATATATATATATATATATATATATATATATATATATATATATATATATATATATATATATATATATATATATATATATATATATATATATATATATCTATATCTGATGCATTTTTACAGCAGTTTAATTCAGTTGTCATCCTGAACATAAGCAAAGTCAATTTGAACTGTTCACAGGGTTCGTACGGGTGCTGGAAATCCTGGAAAATGCTTGATTTTTAATAAAATGTTTTCAAGGTTAGAAAAGTGCTTGGATTTTGGACAAAATGCTTGAATCTGCTTGAATTTGAAATTGCAGAGCTTGTATTTGCTACCGTCTTTGTTGCAAATGTGCCCAAAATTATCTATGCGAGCTCAAAATATATTTGGGAACATTTGTGCATAAAGAGTGCATAAAATTGCCGCCGTGCGAACAGTTTTCACTGCAAAATGTTCACTGCATGCGAGTATTTAGGCGACATTCATGCTGAAAAATGCCAAACGAAGCGCTCAGGAATGGTTTAAAACAGACATGTCAACTTGCTACTACACCCTAACAAAATCTGACTGTAAGTTCACTTTTTGAGATGGCAACTTTAGGTAGAAAGAGACCAAACTTAAAAATATACGTCATCCAATACTTGAGCTTTTTTTTTTTCACTATTTTTAAGTGAACTATACCAATAAATCTATGCTCCAAATTATTCACCAATTTAAGTTCAAATGTCATATTGATTTTTTTTTTTTTTTTTTAAATAGCACAATGAATTTAAATGTAAAGTACATACAGTGTATATAAAGGTAATTCACCATGGTTGTTAGGTGCTGGAAAAGCAAACAAATGCACGTTGAAAGTGCTTCAAGTGCTGGAATTTGAAGTCGGAAAAAGTGTAAGAACCCTGTCACTAGGGTTAAACATGAGAACTGTCCATGCAGTTACGCCTAAATTATAGTTTTCAGTATCGTAAGTTCTTAACATGAACATAAACGCATTGTAAATTCAAAATCAAATATGCAAACTGTCCTTAAATATTTCTCACCATTTCAGTATTTCCCATGCAGTTATAATGACACAATGAGAACGTTTTCAAGCTCAAAGATAAAACAACTAAAATGCTTGTATGATCAATCTTAGCACAAATTTGGCTTTTATTTATTACAATCATATGGCTTCAGAAGATGTGGGAAAAGTCGGGATAAATCACAGATTTGGTTTAATTATGTGGGTTTTCTGTGTTTAATGCTAATTATAACTTTTTTTTTGTATCATATTGGCACAAAAGGCTATCTTTATAACAGAAACACATTACTGTTATACAAAATCTGATCATATTTTTGCCTGATTGAGCCAAAGATCTGGATAGGTGTTTTATTTGTGCGTGTGTGACCTGCTCTCGATTTATGCGTTTGGCTCTGCTCTTCAGAGACTCTGACTTTCTCACAGAGAGCTTTGCGCTGTGTTTTGTCCTTGCTGGTGTTGTCAGAGCGCAGGAATGTGCTGCATGTTTCCTCTGCTCTGCATGAGAGGCAGCTGCATGTCTGAGTCTGACTGACACAGCATGCGCTTCACCGAGCCGCCAGCAGGGGGATCCACTGCACGAGTCAAATGATGCACGTTTGCATTTTATTCCAAACCAAAAGAATATATCACCATCAACATGATGCCTCGTCACATCAGACGTGATTTGTGGAGGATATGTACAGTAATTTAAAGGGGTAGTTCACCCAAATGCATTTACTTAGTGTTGCAGAATTATAAACTGTTATAAAACATTAATTCTGTTGGAGATGGTTAGAATAAACTTGCTTAAACATGAAAAGCAAAATCACCAAGCATATTATAAACTGGTTTTCAAGAGTTCACACTGAACTGATTATTGATTATAAAGCTTGTTTGGCATGCTGTCCCGGGATACAGACCTGTGCTCATAAGATCCTCGAGCACGGGGCTTCCACCTGTTTGCAAGGCGAGAGGGGAGTTTGAGCTCAGGTAGATTTCAAAAAGGTGGAGTAGGGGTGGATTTTTTTAAAACAAAAATGGCTTTTAAATGGAATTTAGGGTATTTTATAGTGTCTTAGGAATCGTCTGATTGGTGCATCATAAGTTGAATGATGCTGGGCCGGCTACAAGCAATCATAAGCATGTGATCTTCTCGAAATTAGTTTATAAATAAACTTCACTTATTTAACATATTGTAAATTAAACTTAAATATACAAATTGTCATGATGTATTAAGCTCCTAACTCTTAACTTTTTTTATTTTTAGATCTGTAACTGGTTCATAAACGCACGCCGGAGGCTCCTGCCAGACCTGCTCCGGAAAGACGGCAAAGATCCCACTCAGTTCACAATGTCACGACGCACCAGCAAACCTGACAGATCCGCCTCCCCAGAATGCCACACCCCTTTACCACGCCCTTCAGTCATTTGCCCCGCCCCCACACTGGATTTAAGACTGCTAGGCAATACTGCGACTGCAATTTTAGCAGGAGCCGGTTGCTTGCCATCATCCGGCAACCAAGATGGAAGTGTTCAGGCTCTGATGCAGCTGGACACGCGTGGTTTACTGAGAAGGGAGGGTTTAGCTGGATATCGGAGAGAAGATCAACATTTTACCACCATCCCATTGTCTAATACATCCGTCTCGAGTTTGAGTCCGATTGGAGTGCTCTTAAACACTCCTCCTCCAACTCCTCCAGACCTTTGTCCTCAAGATTTCAGCGATCTGAAGCTTCTGGTGGACGCAGCGCTACAGAGAGCCGAGCAAGAAAACAGCCAACAAAAAGAGCAAACCACAAAACCAAAGGAGAACTCAAGAGAACTCGTCCTGAGTGAGGACAGATCCATCTCAACACCTCCAAGGGATGAATCTGAATCTACGGCAGTGGAGAATGCAGTGTTACCGGTGTCTGTTCCTGTTATGAGCCACTCTTTCAGTGGTCTTCCTGTTGATCTGAGCACGGATAATATTATTGGGAAGAATCTTCCAGAATCGGTGGGATTTACGTCATCTGGGATGTGGAGCGTCCGGGGGTCTGCTCCGGGATCCAGTGCAGTTTCACACGCGTGGGTTTCACAGTATGTGCATAATACAGTCACAGAGGCGGTCAACTGACCAGGCCAGGAATGACGCTCTTTTTATTTTTATTTTTCGGACTTCTTGTTTTTTTTTTTTCTCTCGATACTCTTTTAGACTAAATGGAAAAACTTTGGGACGTGCCTCTCAAACCTGTCCTGATGATGGATCACTGTGGGAGTATATCCAATGGAGAAATGATTGTGAAATTTTCCTGAATGAGTCGTGATTCTGTGTTGAATCAGTTCTGAGTTTTGCCAACAGCTGGCGCTGTTTGCATTAGCCGTGTTTACACTGATTTAAGACATTTGCAAGTACATGTGACCATTTAAAATGCATAACTCAACCATATGCACAAGCACACTGCTTTGGGAGTGTCTGTGATTGGTTACATGCTAGCCTAGAGCGCAGTCAGCTGTTATACACTAGCCTAGAACTTCATCTGATGTTAAAAAAAACAAGCCTAGAGCACCATCTGATGTTAAACTAGCATACAGCGCCATCTGATAATAAAATGCTAGCTAAGAGCACCGGCTGATGTTAAAAAGCTAGCCTAAAGTGCCATCTAATGCTAAAAACTAGCATACAATGTCATCTGAAGTTACAATACTAACCTAGAGCGCCGTCTGATGTTATAAACCAAGCCGAGAGTGCCATGTGATCTTAACTAGCATACCGTGCCGTCTGATGCTAAAAAAAGTAGCCTAAAGCGCTGTCTGATGTTAAAAACTAGCATAGTGCTGTCTAACGTTAGAAAGCTAGCCAAGAGCGCCGTCTGATGGTAAAAAGCTAGCCTAGAGCGCCGTCTGATGTTGAAAAGATGGCCATCTGATGTTAAAAACTAGCATACAGTGCTGTCTAATGTTAAATAGCTAGCCAAGAGTGCCTTTTGATCTGAAAAAGCTAGCTAAGAGCACCATCTGATGTTAAAAAAACTAACCTAGATTGCCGCCTGATGTTGAAAAGATGGCCATCTGATGCTAAAAACTAGCATAGAGCGCTGTCTGATGTTAAAAAGCTAGCCAAGAGCACTGTCTGATGTTAAAAAGCTAGTCTAGAGCGCCATCTGATGTTAAAAAGCTAGCCAAGAGCGCCATCTGATGTTGAAAAGATAGCCATCTGATGTTAAAAACTAGCATAGAGCGCTGTCTGATGTTAAAAAGCTAGCCAAGAGCACTGTCTGATGTTAAAAAGCTAGTCTAGAGCGCCATCTGATGTTAAAAAGCTAGCCAAGAGCGCCGTCTGATGTTGATAAGATGGCCATCTGATGTTAAAAACTAGCATACAGCGCTGTCTGATGTTAAAAAGCTAGCCAAGAGCACTGTCTGATGTTAAAAAGCTAGTCTAGAGCACCATCTGATGTTAAAAAGTTAGCCAAGAGCGCTGTCTGATGTTGATAAGATGGCCATCTGATGTTAAAAACTAGCATACAGCGCTGTCTGATGTTAAAAAGCTAGCCAAGAGCACTGCTGATGTTAAAAAGCTAGCCAAGAGTGCCTTCTGATCTTAAAAAGCTAGCTAAAAGCACCGTCTGATGTTTTAAAAAAACTAGCATACAGCGATGTCTGGTGTTTAAAAAGCTAGCCAAGAGCGTCATCTGTATTAAATGGCTAGCTAAGAGCACTATCTGATGTTATAAAACAAGCCTAGAATGCCATCTGATGCTAAAAACTAGCATACATCGCTGTTTGATGTTAAAAATTCTAGCCAAGAGCACCATCTAATGTTAAAAAGCTAGCCAATATGGCCATCTGATGTTACAAAACTAGCCTAGAGTGTCATCTGATGCTAAAAATTAGTAAACGGTGACGTGTGATGTTAAAATGTTAGCCAAGAGTGCCAACTGATGTTAAAAAGCTAGCTAAGAGCACCGTCTAATGTTAAAAAGCTAGCCAATATGGCTGTCTGATGTTACAATGCTAGCCTAGAGCGCCATCTGATGCTAAAAAAACTAGTCTAGAACATAAACTCTTGCAAAAAGCCACCCTATCTGCTATTAAAAACTAAGCTCAAAATCAATTCCAAAGAGAATAGCGACTCATTCAGAAAATCTCAATTGATTCATGAATCTTTTCTGTATTTGATTCATCATCTTCACAAGTCTAATGAGCGACGGATCTTGCTATGTATCCGCTTCGCCTTCAGCAGAGAAGTGAAGCTTCTCTCTGCTCTCGTCTGTATTTCAAAAGACATTTTAAAACTTTTTTTTTTTTAAAGCAAAACCTTTTAACTTTAAAACAAAACACTACATGAAATGTAAAGGGCATCCGTTGTGAATGCTCGTGAACAATAATAATCCAGCATTTCAGACTCTGGACGACAGGTAGACCTTCTGTCAGGTGCAAATATAACCAGCGACCTCCAAACTCCAGGAAACCTGCGCATCTCAGGTTTACCGACAACAGCCAAGAGATTTTCAGCTCATCGTGGCCTTGCAGTGCTCTTGCTAAATACTCTTATACACTCCAAAACGAACTAAATGTTGGGTTGATTTAACCCAACGTTGGGTCAAACATGGATGAACTCAATCTTTAGGATTTACTAACATTAACAAATGTATAAATGAATGTATTGTTCAAGTTTGTTAATGAAAAATGCATTAGCTCATGTTAACAGTGCACAGGTTTGGGGTTTTAATAATGCAATACAATTAACCATAGTTGTTCAACGTTTATTATATTAGTAAAAACATTATCATTGAAATGTAAACCCAATGTAACCCAACAGTTTGGTATTACCATATTTAACCCAACGTTGAGTATGAGGGATTACTAACATGAACAATACGTTCTGTTTTTCATTAATAAACATAAACAAATGCATTAGCTCATGTTACAGTGCATTTAGTTATGTTAACAAGCACAGGTTTGGGTTTTAATAATGCAATACAATAAACCATAGTTCAACATTTATTATGTTTAACATTATCATTGACTATCCCATATTATAAAGCAATACCGAAAGATGTAACCCAACAGTTTGGTATGTCCATATTTAACACAACGTTGAGTCCAATATGGATAACCTTAATCTTTGTTATTTTTGGGGGGTTTACTTGCATGAACTACTGCAATGAACTACATTAATAAATACTTTAATGAATGTATTGGTCGTGTTAGTAAATCCCACCCCAAAAATCCCAAAGATTGGCTTCATCCATATTTGACTCAATGTTGGGTTAAATGTGGACGTACCAAATTGTTGGGTTGAATTTCTTTCGGTAACTCTTTATAACATGGGTTAGTCAGTGATGTTTTTACTAACATATCGCAATAATAAATGCTGAACAACTATGGTTCATTGTATATTAAAATCTAAACCTGTGCTTGCTAACAATACTTAATGCACTGTTAACATGGACTACTGTATTTTTATTAACAAACATGAACAAATGCATACATGAATGTATGTTTCAGTAGCAAGTAAATCCCAAAGATTGAGGTTATCCATATTTAACTCAACGCTGGGTTGAATATAGACATAGCAAACTGTTGGGTTACATTTCTTTTGGTGACTCTTTATAATATGGGATAATCGATGATAATGCTTTTACTAACATATACAATGAACATAGTTGTTCAGCATTTATTATTGCATTATTAAAGCCCAAACCTGAGCTTGTTAACATTAATGCACTAATAACATGAGCAATACATTTATTAAAGCATTTATTGATGAAAAATGCAGCCGTTCATGTTAACGGTGCATTAGGTCATGTTAACAAGCACAGGTTTGGGCTTTTAATAATGCAATGAGTAAAAACATTATCATCGACTATCCCATATTATAAAGCCTAAACCTGTGCTTTTTAACAATACTTAATGCACCGTTAACATGAACTACTGTATTCATCAACAAATATGAATAAATGCTTTAATAAATGTATTGCTCATGTTAATAGTGCATTAATGTTAACAAGCACAGGTTTGGGCTTTAATAATGCAATAATAAATTGCTGAACAACTATGTTCATTGTATATGTTAGTATCATGTAACATTATCATTGACTTTCCTATATTATAAAGAGTTACCGAAAGAGATTAACCCAACGGTTTGGTATGTCTATATTTAACCCAGTGTTGAGTTAAATATGGACCTAAAAGTTGGGTTTAAAAGTTGAATCTAAATTAAATGGGAAAAAATAAACCCAAATTTGAGTCAAAATCAAGCTCCGCTCTTTAAATTATTATTATCATTACTTAATATTATTATTATTTTCAATTGAACTTGAATTACATTTATAACTCAATCACACTTCTAAACCTAACTTTGGGCTTGTCCATATTTGACCCATGATTAAGTTAAATCAAACGGCCCAGTGTTGTTTATAGTGCAGTAGCTCTTGCCTGTTAGCGTCAGTATATCCACTAGTGTTCTTCTAGTCGTCTATGCATGCTCTGCTTGTTTCTAGTGAATGTAAAGACCAGCACGCAGCTTTGAATGCTCACTCCAGCTGCATCGTGTGTTCTTGCAGATTGAAAACTCTTGTTCATTTCAACACTTTTGTAGGCTGAAAACTCTTGTAGATTCAACACTTTGCTCCTATTTAGCCTGAAAGCTGCTACTGAAGAAGCCCCTTTGTCCTGCTTCTGTACTGCAGGACAAAAAAAAAAAAAAAAGCTTTTATTAGGTGGTTTTTGTCTTGTTTTTAGTACAAATATCCAAACCAGGGGTGTCCAAACTCAATCCTGGTGGGCCGGTGTCCTGCATATTTTAGCTCCAACCCCAATTAAACACACCTGAACCAGCTAATCAAGCTCTTTCTAGGTATACTAGAAACTTCCAGGCAGGTGTGTTAAAGGAAGTTGGAGCATAACTATGCAGGACACCGGCCCTCCAGAACAGAGTTTGGACACCCCTGATCTAAACCTATTTAAATCAAGAAGCATTTTTGAGATGAGTACAAAATATTGACTTGTTTTAAGAAATGAGTCAAAATGAAGTGATTTTTCTTTTAAACAAGCTAAATCTGCCAATGGGGGAAGCAAAATCTTGTTTTTCCTTTTTTATATACAATTATTTGTCTTCCCCCATTGGCAGATAATTTAGCTTGTTTTAATGAAAAACTCGCTTCATTTTGACTAAATTCTTAAAACAAGTCAATATTAGTTGCTTGTCTAGAAAATGCTTCTTGATTTCAGAATGTTTAGAATAGAAACAAGACGAATAGTAAGTAAAAGAAGTGTTTTTCTGCAGTGTACACCCTCAGTGTTTCCCGCCAGCGTGTGTTTCTGTCATACTTTCTGCACTTTATACGTCAGAATCGTGTGTGTGTGTGTGTGTGTGTGTGAGTGTGTATGTGTGTGTGTGTGAGTGTGTGTGTGTGTGTGTGTGTGTGTGTGTGTGTGTGTGTGTGTGTGTGTGTGTGTGTGTGTGTGTGTGTGTGTGTGTGTGTGTGTGTGTGTGTGTGTGTGTGTGTGTGTGTGTGTGTGTGTGTGTGTGTGTGTGTGTGTGTGTGTGTGTGTGTGTTCTGGGAATTGATTAGACTGCAGGGATCATCTCTCACGTCTGCTGTCTGTCTGAGAGGTCGTCTGAAAGGCAGAGCAGCCATCGATTTGCCTCAGTTCTCATGTAAGATGATCTTCACAGATGGAGCTTTATTTTTCCATTTAAGCTGGAATGATCATTATTCTGATGGTGGAGTAGATGATCAGCATTATTAACTGTCTAAATTAGCAGCTTTTTGTGATTCATTTATTTTTGCTCATCTTTTAATTGCATTATGTGCTCTTGATCATTATTACTGCAACTTTTAACCTTAAAGTTTTTTTAAAAAGTGACTTATGCATATTTTTAGCAGTTTGCGGTGCTGTATTGTCTGGATTGGTGTCATATTACACTACAAACACCTTATAATGAACCACCAGTGCATTTTACACACTTCTTTCTCTAGATATTACTATTTCTCATACAGTATATTATTTCAAGCTACTAAAATGTCAATAAAAGTCACTTTGTTAAACTCTAGTGCTGTCAGAGCAGAGATCAACATCCCATAATGTGATTCACAACCGCAAACAAACACTTGTTAATCACAAAATGCAATATATTTTTACAGCCATTTTTTTTTTTTATGCATTTTTATTAATTTTGAGAGAAGTAATTAAAATACAGGCACTGAGACTTTATTTTTCTTTCTTAAAGGGACAGATCACTCAAAACTGAGCATTCATTTACTCGCCCTTTTCACAAACCTCTGAGTTTCGTTCTCTTGTTAAACAGAAAGCCATTTTGGAGAGGTTTTCATGGTCCCTCCATATTATTTGTTTCTCCTAGTATGGATGTCTTAATTTTATTTTAGCTAGCCTTTTAACATAAAATAAAATAACTCTTGAGATTTGTAATTTCTTTAAGAGTGCCCTGAATAAACCAAAAATAGACATTATAGACAACATTTCATTGATTAATCATTACCAGTTTCTAAAATCTATTTTAAATCAGCCACACACACACACACAAAAAACTAATAATAATAATAAATTTGAGGGAGAGAAAATTAGCTATATTTTTGGGTGAACTATCCCTTTAAATAATAGGTCTCAAACTCAGTTCCTGGAGGGCTGCAGCTCTGCACAGTTTTCCTCCAACCCTAATCAAACACACCTGATGCAAATAATCGAGCTGTCCAAAAGAGTCTTGAGCACCTTGATTAGTTGCATCAGGTGTGTTTGATTAGGCTCTGAGCAAAACAGTGCAGAGCTGCAGCCCTCCAGGAACTGAGTTTGAGACTTATGCTGCATTTCACATAGAGTTTAGATCAGGGGTGTCCAAACTCGGTTCTGGAGGGCCGGTGTCCTGCAATGTTTAACTCCAACTTCCTTTAACACACCTGCCTGGAAGTTTAAAGTATACATGTCAAGAGCTTGATTAGCTGGTTCAGGTGTGTTTAATTGGGGTTGGAACTAAAATATGCAGGACTGAGTTTGTGCACCCCTGCTCTAGATAGAGATGAATTTCCTCTGATGATCTGTGAATGTATTTCCAGAACTTACTAATAATAAGTAGGAACGAACCCAAGATGGCTTCCAGTGATGATCACAAGCAGTTTTGTTACTCGGACACTGATTTTACGCTGGTGGTTTCCATTAAACTGTGAGATCGTGCACAGATTAGTCTGTTATGGTAATGAATTTATCCTGAATTAGTCCTTTAATGAAGTGTTTTTAGTTCAGTCATTCACAAATGTGCCATAATTCTGCTGGGTTTGTATAACTGCGCTGCGTTCTGTGGTACTGTACACATTTCTCAATAGCTCTCAGGTTTGTTTATTGTAGTTTTTCCTCATTTCAGTGTTTCCTAATATTTCAAAGGGAGATTTTCATTCACTCTGGTATTCATTAAGGTGCTCCTATATTTTAGTCACGTCATGAGGCTTTAATAAACTGTACGAGTCTGGTTAGCCGTGATGGTACTGGAAGTAAATCTATATATTTTATTTTTCATATACTCTATTTTTCCACCTCATTCAGAAAGACTGGTATTAATATTCCTGCAACGGTATTATTATTATTGAAAAATGAGTCTCATCGATGACAATGTGAAGCTTGTAGATATCGTTCAGGTTTTTGTTTGTGTTTTGTGTGTACATCTAATACATGTAGGCCTCTGATATACGACCAAATATGTGATGGATTTTAGTTTTTAAGATCATGTGTGTAACTGAGGATGGTAAAACTGGCTATTTGTGCCTTATATGCTTCCTTAGAGAAACCTTTGGATTAGTCTGTGCAATATCTGCCTTAAAGATTTTATTTGGTGTCCTTTTGTACAAATATTACAGAGAAATAAAAGCTTCGTTTTTCATTTGTTTGTATTGTGGAGTAATTGAATGCGATTTAATTCTTTCATGACTGAGTTTCTGTTCTGTCATTTGAAGGGTTTATATACATGATATATGCAGAATTTATCAAAATAATTTCAGATTTAAACTGTGTGTGTGTGTGCATGTGTGTTTGTGTGCGTTTGTGTATATATTTATGCACACACACACACACATACACACACGTACATACATACGTACGTACGTGTGTGTGTAATTAAAATTAAGAATTAAATTGTTTCAAATAGATGTATTTTTTTAATTACAGAAATATAATGAAATTGAAAAATAATTAAAATAAAGTAAAACTTTTAATTGAAACAAATGAAATTAAAACAATTTAAATACTTTAAGGTAATTAAATAAATCAAATGTATTAATTTAAAATAAAATGTAACTTAATTTTATTTTGAAAATATTTAAAAATTAATTTTAATTATAAATTAAAATAAAATTGTAAAAAAATGAAATTTAAAAAAATAAAATTGTAAATAAAATAAAAACATTTTAAAAGAAATATTTAAATAACCATAAATTATTTTAAACAAAAAATGTGAATTAAACTGAATACAAACACACACATACATAATTAATTTTTTAATTTAAAAATTAAAAAACTTTTAATAAAATTATTTAAATTTTAAAAATGTATTTAAATTAAAATAATAAATTTATTTAAAAATGTAATTAAAAAAATATTTAAAATAATAATTGAAATAAATTCTAATTTAAATGAAAAAATATATAACATATAATATATATATATAACATTTTAATTAAGAAAAATTGCAATCAATTAAAAAAATATATATATATTAAAAAAATAATAATTTACCTGTGACATTGTTAAACCAAATAGAGTAAAGTATAGAAATGACTACTATCATTGATCCCTGCATGCACAGAAATGATTTTAGACATGTTCATATGGGTTTGAGAACATTTATTTCTTTGTGTATAAAATGCATCAGGTTCATATGATGGATAACTTCATGTCTAAGAGCTGCCGCATGTGATCGCACATTTTCTGAACCAGATCTTCAGAGTATCACTGGAATCATAAGTTGTAGTGCAGCTCAAAACTTACATCCCAAATCTGAGGCAAAAATTATATAAAGGAAACTGCAGTAAGTATACATTTATATTTAGTCATTTTACTTCCATTAGATGTTACAACAGTTTAATATAACCAGAATATTCTGACAGACCAAATTTAGCCTTGATTTAGACATAATGTCTCTGTTTAGTCATCTATTAGACGTCTATTAAACGCAATATTGCTTGGAGGGCCTAGCAAGCATTTTATGTGTTTTAAATAAGCCTAATAGACGTCTAACAGACATCTAAACACTGACGGCGTGGCTAAAACAAGGCTAATTTTAGGCTCTCAGTAAAAATCTAATTGACATCTAGGAATAGCAAATCAACACATGTAAAGTCTGTGTGATCTGTTTATTTGATTACTATAGTCTAGTTTGGGGTAATTCTTTGACGTCTACTAGACAAGATTTTTCAGACAGACCAAATTTAGCCTGGATTTAGACAAACCGTCTCTGTTTAGTCATCTATTAGACGTCTATTAAACGCAATATTGCTTGGAGGGCCTAGCAAGCATTTTATTTTTTAAAATAAGTCTAATAGACATCTAAAAGACATCTAAACACTGACAGCTTGGCTAAAACAAGGCTAATTTTGAGCTTGCACTGAAAATCTAATAGACATCTAGGAATAGCTCATCAACACATGTAAAGTCTGTCCGATCAGGTTACTTGATTACTATAGTCTAGTTTAGGGCGATTCTTAGACGTCTATTACACGATATTTTTCAGACAGACCAAATATAGCCTTGATTTAGACAAACCGTCTATGTTTAGTCATCTATTAGACGTCTAATAAACGCAAAACTACTGGGAGGGCCAAGCAAGCATTTTTTTGTTTATAATAAGTCTAATAGACATCTAATAGACATCTACCATTTAAAATATAATAGATTTTCACTGCGAGTTCAAACTTAGCCTTGTTGTTGCTGTCTATTAGCTGTCTATTAGATGTCTATGTTTAGTTAATTATTAGACGTCTATTAAACGCAATATTGCTTGGAGGGCCTAGCAAGCATTTTATGTGTTTAAAATTAGTCTAATAGACGTCTAACAGACATCTAAACACTGACAGCTTGGCTAAAACAAGGCTAATTTTAGGCTCGCAGTAAAAATCTAATTGACATCTAGGAATAGCAAATCAACACATGTAAAGTCTGTCTGATCTGTTTATTTGATGACTATAGTCTAGTTTGGGGTAATTCTTAGACGTCTATTAGACATTATTTTTCAGACAGACCAAATTTAGCCTGGATTTAGACAAACTGTCTCTGTTTAGTTAACTATTAGACGTCTATTAAACGCAATATTGCTTGGAGGGCCTAGCAAGCATTTTATGTGTTTAAAATAAGTCTAATAGACGTCTAACAGACATCTAAACACTGACAGCTTGGCTAAAACAAGGCTAATTTTGGGTTCGCAGAGAAATTCTAATAGACGTCTAAGAATAGCTCATCAATGCATGTAAAGTCTGTCTGATCTTTTTATTTGATAACTATAGTCTAATTCAGGGCAATTCTTAGACGTATATTAGACATTATTATTCTGACAGAACAAATTTAGCCTGGATTTAGCCAAGCTGTCTATATTTAGTCACCTATTAGACGTTTATTAAATGCAAAACTATTTGGAGGGCCAAGCAAGCAATTTTTTTGTTTATAATAAGTCTAATAGACGTCTAATAGACATCTAAATCTAATAGATTTTCACTGTGAGCCCAAAATGAGCCTGGTTGTAGCCTTGAATATGTTTAGTCTTCTATTAGACGTCTATTAAACGCAAAATTGTGTAGTGGGTATGTTCATATGTTTGTGTGTGTGTTTCTAATGTGCTGTGGAGCTGCGGCTGACTCTCTTTCTCCTGGTCTACATGTCGTCTTTGTCTTTGGCTCCGTGTTTGAGGATTCGAGTGAACTCTCCATAGTTAAAGTTGCCCTTCTTGTCAATGGGAGCCTCTCTGAAGAGCTCGTCCACATCTTCATCTGTGAAACGGTCTCCCATGGTGGTCAGCAGCTCCCGCAGGTGGTCTTCATGGATGAAACCTGCGCAGATGAAAATCAGAGATGCAGTTTTACAGATAGATGACATGCTAATCATTAATTCACTCATTTTCCTCAGGGGTCACCACAGTGGAATGAACCGCCAATTATTTCAGCATATGTTTTACAGTGAATGCCCTTTGAGCGGCAAACTAGTACTGGGAAACACCCATGCACTCTCACATTCACACTCATATACTACAGCCAATTCAGTTGCCCAATAGCGCATGTGTTTAGACTGGGGGAAACATCGGGAGAACATGCACACTCCACACAGAAATGCCAGTTGAGACTCGAACCCGCGACCTTCTTGCTGTGAAACAACAGTGCTAACCACTGAGCCACAGTGTCACCAATGAAATCTATTTAAAATTGCAAAATAATATCACAATTGAACCATTTCACTATGTTTTAGTGGAAATACATTAAGCTGAAGGGGCTTTGTTCAGAATTATTTTAAAATGTGAGACTCTCATATCGCAACAGTGTTGTTTGTTGTTGTTGTTTTTACCAGATCCCTCCTCATCGAAGCAGGCGAAGGCATTTCTGATGACGTCCTCCGGGTCGGTCCCGTTCAGCCGCTCTCCAAACATGGTGAGAAACATGGTGAAGTTGATGGGCCCCGGAGCTTCACTCATCATTCCCTCCAGATAATCATCAGACGGGTTCTTACCTGAGCACACACACATACACACACACACACACACACACCAGAGTAAAGTACATCTGTGCTCGTATTCATAAGATTAAGGCTAAAAGTGGCTCTTAACTTAAAATCTTAAAAATAATGTTTGAGTCAGTCCTAAATTTTTAGGCCTCCTGAATTTTTGCTTTAAAGGGAACCCTGGGTTTTAAGACTCTAATGCCTAAATATAAGTAAACGATACCTCTTTGTGAAATATGTAGAAAAAAACATGCCATATTTAACTTATTCAGGAAAATCCACATTTATTTTGGACAATGGGTGCCGCTGTGCTGACATTTTATCCTACCCATCAGATCATGTTACCAACACTGTATTTAAATGCTTCTGAGGTTGATTAGGTAGGTTAGGGCGATATTACAGCTTCATATCACACTACTTCAAAATTGACACCGGTAGCAAAATCATCAGTTTGCGCTACTTACTTTTTAAATGGGACAATCTGACAAGGTAGGACAAATCGACAGAACGCCGCCATTGTTTTCAATGACGTAATCCCCCTACTGGTGTTTCTTTTCCTATAATAAATGCAGCAGAACTGCCACAATGTTCTGCTTTTGATTGTTATTTTCAGACAATCTCACTAGATCGATATGCGGAAGCATTAAATGTTATTGTGTTACTCCCTGTGGGAGTGGGGGAATAAATAGTAATGAAGATTTTCCTTCCTTTAGGACGTCTTATTATTTCCTAGTTAAATTTGTCTCAACGGTTTTGTGAACATGTTTTAATAGAAAAATCTTAGCTAACATTTTTACTGCTATTTAGGAGAACAGTTAATGTTAATATGTACTAATATGTTAATATGTAATTATTAGTACAATTACATATACAAATACATAATAATATGTTAATATGTAATTATTATAATATATTATATTAATTATATTGTATTAATTATATTGTATTATATTATATTAATTATATTGTATTATATTATATTAAATATATTATATTAAATTATATTATATTAATTATATTATATTATATTATATTAATTATATTATATTATATTAATTATATTATATTATATTATATTATATTATATTATATTATATTATATTATATTATATTAATTATATTATATTATCTTGTATTATATTACATTATATTATATTATATTAATTATGTTATATTAATTATATTATATTATATTATATTTAAGCATTGTGATATATTAAATGGTAATATATTAAGAATTAATACAAAAAAGTTTTATTTTATTTCATTATTTTATTTTACTTTATTTGTCTTATTTTATTTTATTTTTTTATTTTTTATTTTATTTTATTTATTAATTTTTTACTTTATTTTGTCTTATTTTATTTTATTATTTTATTTTATTATTTTATTTTATTATATTTTATTTATTTATTTTATTTTATTTATTAATTTTTTTTACTTTATTTTGTCTTATTTTATTTTATTTTATTTTATTCTATTATTTCACCCAGACTCACCCAAAGATGCTAGCATATCGTGCAGATCCTCTTTATCGATGAAGCCGTCTCGGTTCTGGTCGATCATGTTGAACGCCTCTTTAAACTCCTGGATCTGCGACTGGTCAAACATGGCGAACACATTTGACGTGGCTCTCTGAGGCCTTTTCTTGGTGGTCTTCCCCTTTGCTCTTTTGCTGGACATGATGGCGGTGTTTGAGGACTGGGGGAAAAAGCAGAGGATGATCATCAATATGCATTTTAAAATGTTGCTGTAAAATGCACAGTATTACTGGCAAGTTTGGTTCACAGCAAGAAGGTCGCTAGTTCAAGCCCCGGCTGGATCAGTTGGCATTTCTGTGTGGAGTTTGCATGTTCTCCCCATGTTGGCGTGGGTTTCCTCTGGGTGCTCCGGTTTCTCCCACAGTCCAAACACATGCGCTAGGGGAACTGATGAACTATACTGGCCGTAGTGTATGAGTGTAAATAAGTGTGTATGTGTGTTTCCTAGTACTGGGTTGCGGCTGGAAGGGCATACGCTGTGTAAAACATATGCTGGAATAGTTGGTGGTTCATTCCACTGTTGCAACCTTTGAAATAGAGACTAAGCTGAAGTAAATGAACTCCTCGTTGATCATGAAGTTGTACTTTCGGTCCTGTGATCGCACTGAATGACCAGTCATTTTCATATCAGTGATTTTACTGCTCCTGTAGGCACCGTTTCTGAACATCAGCTCAATAAAGTAACCAAATGTTTCTGCATATGTAAATAAACTCCTTAATATTTTCATATCATTTTAACAATGAACGTGCAATGTAAAAAATGAGCTCCCACTTATGGTTTTGTCTTGTTTTCTAATACAAATGTTATCACAATTTACAATGAGGTTTCATTGGTTAATGCTAGTTGGCCTACAGTGCTCAGCGTATACGCTTGAGGTCAGAATCATGAGCCCCCCTGTTTATTTTTTCCACAGTTTCTGTTTAACGGAGAGCAGATTATTTAAACATTTCTAATCATAACAGTTTTAATAACTCATTTTTAATAACTGATTTATTTGATCTTTGTCATGATGACAGTAAATCATATTAGACTAGATATTCTTCAAGACACTTCTATACAGCTTAAAGTGTCATTTAAAGGCTTCACTAGGGTAATTAGGTTAACTAGGCAGGTTAGGGCAATTAGGCAAGTTATTGTATAACAGTGGTTTGTTCTTTAGACTATCGAAATAATATATAGCCTAAAGGGGTTAATAATATTGACCTTAAAACAGTGTTTAAAATATAATAAAACTGCTTTTATTCTAGCTGAAATAAAACAAATAAGACTTTCTCCTGAAGAAAAAATATTATCAGACATACTGTGTGAACCTTTCCTGAATCTGCTCAACATCATTTGGGAAATATTAAAAAAAGAAAGAAAAATTCAAAGGGGGGCAAATAATTCTGACTTCAACTGTATGACTACACCCCATTTTGAAAATTAACGTTTTTATTTATTTCTCAGTGAATATGGGTAATATATATTGGTGCATTTCAACAAAACAGATTTATTAAACAGAGATATTTATTAAAATAATATTTTACTCACAGAACATCTTTAGAAATGGAAAGATAATGCAATTAAATTCATGCAAAATATTGCAAAAAGAATTACAAACTACAACATTTTATATATTTGTTGTTTCTATACAGTTTTGCTATTTTTGAAAATTGTATTTAATATTTTTCTCTAACATAAAATTGGGCCGCTATTTTTAAAACTGTTTTCATAGGTTATTTTGTTAGATTAGCTCCAGATTTGGTTTCAGTACTGACTAATCTAAAGTATATGCACAAATGTAATACTGTAAAGCTTCCGATAGAAAATATCAAGCTAAATGAGAGATTTGTGAGGGTGTACACATACAGTTGAAGCCCCCCCCTGAATTCTTAGCCCCCCTGTTTATTTTTTCCCCAATTTCTGTTTAACGGAGAGCAGATTTCTTCAACACATTTCTATTCATAACAGTTTTAATAACTCATCTCTAATAACTGATTTATTTTCTCTTTGTCATGATGACAGTAAATAATAATAGACTAGATATTCTTCAAGACACTTCTATACAGCTTAAAGTGACATTTAAAGGCTTAACTAGGTTAATTAGGTTAAGTAGGTTAGGGCTAATAATATTGTCCTTAAAATGGTGTTTAAAAAATTAAAAACTGCTTTTATTCTAGCCGAAATAAAACAAATAAGACTTTCTCCAGAAGAAAAAATATTATCAGACATACTGTAAAAATTTTCTAAATCTCTTCAACATAATTTTGGAAATATTTGAAAAAGAAAAAAAATTTCAAAGGGGGCGAATAATTCTGACTACAACTGTATACTGAACACTGTATTTACTAACATGAACAATACTTGAAAGGCATTTAATAATTATAAATCATTATTTACTGATGCATTATTCAAATCCAAATTTGTGCTTGTTAACATTAATTAATGCACTAATACTTGCCTAACAATAAATGACATTATTTGTATTAACTGAAGTTAGTAAATGCGACAATAACTGTTTAGTAAATGCCTTCATTAACATTAACTAGTGGAACCTTATTGTGTAATGTGATCAAGAAATTCTTCAGTCAGGAAACATTACATTATTAATGCATCAAAAATAAATGAGTTTATGGAAGAAAAACAACATCTGCCAGTGAGATAAGCAACATATTCTTGATTGCACTTTGAGTTGAGTTTTTTTCTCTGACTTTAGGCTTTCGCTTAGCTTATTTTAAGTATTAATTTAAAAAGTTTGCACCGAAAAAACAATGCTACTTATGTGCAATATTTATAATATATAAATGCATCTAAAGAACTGCATATTTATCTTGGTGTAATAACACACTCAGCTTTGCTTTAACAAACTTATTGTATTGTTTATCTCCAGTGTGTTTAGTGAGTGAGTGTAAGATAGAACCAGAAGGAATGTGACTGATTAACTATCTGTGTGTGTGTGTGTGTGTGTGTGTGTGTGTGTGTGCGTGCGTGCGTGCGTGCGTGCGTGCGTGCGTGCGTGCGTGCGTGCGTGCGTATGTGTGCATGTGTGTGCGTGTGGGTGTGAAACCAGAACCAGTTAATCGAACCAGAAGGAATGTAACTAACTGATTAACTATCTATCTCTGTGCGTGCTTGTGTGTGTGTGTGTGTGTGTGTGTACACATCATCAGAACACAATGTCCAGCTTGAACACAGGATTAAATGCAGGAATTTAGAAATAGATCAGAAGATCAGAGCAACTGCATGAAGGACGTTTTCATGTCCTTATCTCTGTGTGTGCGTGTGTTTGTGTGTGTGTGTAGTGTGTGTATAATAAAAGTCTAGCAAAATGGAAAACATTTGCTTTAATTAATCCAACAGTAGAAAACTCAGAGGTCAAAAAAGAGTCAAATCATCATGGAGGGAAACAGCAGCACACTTTATCTGTGAGTGTTGTACAAGTTCTGTAATAATAGTTGGTTTGTGTGTCTTTAAATCCGGTTTAAATTACACAAGTTGTCAGCACTTAAAATAGCTGATGATGAGTATACTTCATCAGTTTCTCAGAAAGAAATGACTAAAATACAGCGCAATGACAGTGTTAATGTGAAGGCATTAAAGAAACAATGATTAAACTGTGCATTATATTATGTTTATGTTTTTAAAACTCCAAATAATGGACAGAAATATGAATTATTGGGGTAAATGTTTAAGTCATATCAACATTAAATTAAACAGACTGAAAATCTAGCTAAATCTATGAAACTTTAAAAACAATTTACATTGATATATTTAAAAATAGAAACATTTGCAGTCATGAATTATCATCTCCTTCTGTTAAAACATCACAGCATTGTTCTGTTATGCACATTTTTCTAAGAGTTTAACTATTATGAATAGTGAAGTATGACCCAAGCATGAAAACAATAGTAAATACTATAGTGATTTTGAGCTATACTATAGTAATAGAGTATTTACAGCACATTGTTAATGAATGCTGTAGTATAGAAGATTGTATTGTTACCAATAGTGAACAGCTAAACTGTGGTAAATATTGTAGTATGCTTTAGTTTTTACCACAGCAAACTGTGGTGCACACTCAGAAAAAACAAAGTACATATAATGCTCCTTAAGCAGCAGGTTTGTACCTTGGTAAATGTTGTACCTTATATAGTAGAGAAAACACCTCTTATGATACTGATCTGTGCCTTCTACAATTAATGAAGATACACAGTTGTTCTCTTAAAAAAGGTACATAAGCGTTGGACAACTCCATTACAATATCTATGAAAATAAATATGACTGGAAAGGCAAAGTGATTTTATGAATAATTTCCATATTAAAACATGAATCATCATATAAAGGCATGTGTTTAAAGAAACTCATAATCAATAACTATTATTAAACTCTATTATACAAAACAACTGGTGAAACGAAATGATAGGTACTGTGTACTAAACATTTAAGGCATTTTAATAAACATTTGGTGAGCATTTTCTGATAAATACAGTTTAATTATTGATATCTGCACCTTTTGACGTTTGCTTTCCGCTACGCACGTGCGCTGGCAAAAGTCCTGCATATGCAAAGTGTTCATGCAGACATTTTACTATTGTAAAACTAATCAAACATTGTGCATATCTCATTACAATACTTTTGCATAATTATTTACATTTACATTTAGTCATATAGCAGACGCTTTTCTCCAAAGCGACTTACAAATGAGGACAAGGAAGCAATTTACACAACTAAGAGCAACAATGAATAAGTGCTGTAGGCAAGTTTCAGGTATGTAAAAGCCTAAGAAGCAACACATTAGTAATATATATATATATATATATATATATATATATATATATATATATATATATACATTTTTTTGTAATACAGTTAGCGGTGGAGCCAGAGAGGTAGTTGCAGACTAGGAAGGAAAGTGGAGACTAAATATTTGGGTTTTTAGTCGTTTCTTGAAGACAGCGAGTGACTCTGCTGTTCTGATGCAGTTAGGGAGTTCATTCCACCAACTGAGCAGATTGAATGCGAGAGTTCGGGAAAGTGATTTCTTCCCTCTTTGGGATGCAACCATGAGGCGAAGTTCATTCACAGAACGCAAGTTTCTGGAGGGCACATACATCTGCAGAAGTGAGAGCAGATAAGAAGGAGCAAAGCCAGAAGTCGCTTTTGTAAACAAACATCAGAGCTTTGAATTTGATGCGAGCAGCAACTGGCAGCCAGTGCAAACGGATGAGTAGCGGAGTGACATGTTTAATAGAAATTATATTTCTATTTTAAAATTAGGCCAATTAAACGAACTTTTAAGTGATCACAAAGGGATTGTAGGGAAATTGGAGAAAAAAATGTTTTATAAAAATGTTTTCTATTGCAGATGGGAGAATGTGTTTCTGAAACATTTTTGTAAAAAGTGTTATGAAATGTTTAGCAATAAATAGATCTTTTGATTTATTTAAGTATTTTTTATTCTGTATTGTAAATGGAAAGGGTGCATTTAGACAAAATAAACTTAAAAGACATAGTTTAACAAATGTATTTGATGTTTTATATTTACTCAAAATAAATGTATGTATTTTGGATAAAACAAAATGCCTTTAAATAGTTCTTGAAGGAACACATTTGACAGTGTTAATGTACAAAGCGTCTTGTCACTGTAGTGGTGCCTTCATGGATCAGATTTGTACCTTTGATGAAGCTACAATATTCTATCTGCACGTTTAAAAACCAAAGGTACATTTTGGTTTCCCATGGCACACATCATGTCCTTAAAGGTACAAACTGCAAGCGTACTAATTTGTTTCTTTGTCTTAAGGCACAATTCTGTTCAATAAAAAGGTACTGCCCCAGTGACAGGGGTTTGTACCTGCTTTGGTATAACATTGTACCATGTTTTCTGAGAGTGTGTATTGTGGTATAAAATATATACTTGTTGAAATCTTGGTACAGTATTGGGTCATTTGTAGAACCAGACAGAATCTGCAGACTTTTATTGCTTTTTTTGTGTATAAATAAAAGGCGTTTGTACAATTTTGTATCTAAAAACCTAATATATGAAATAAAAATGGATACCTTTTTAACTTTTATTAAATTTTTATCATTGAATCCACTTGATTGGTAAACAAGTCTCTCATATATAATATCTGAGCATTTCCAGCGTTATGGTAAATTCACATATAAAGTATGTGTTAGCATTATATTAAAACTTTTGTTTATTTTTTCCAGAACAGCTGACCACAGAGTTAAAGGACAAGAAAAATATTAGTCTGTAAACATGTTTTGTACTTTAAATGAGGAAAATAAACCTGTGTTATGGATGTGACAAAAAAAAGTCTGCGGGTTTACAGTAGACAACATACTTTGTAGAAATTCTGTGAATTAAACTGCACAACCCCAAATAAAACAATGATAATCAAAAGGATATAAAACAAAAATAGTTGGTTTTATTTAATTGAATATTTTCTCATTTATGGTGAAAAAGTGTCATTATGGATGTGACATCTCTTCGTTATGGATGTGACGAATGTGAAATTGCCACTTGTGTGACTTTGGTAAATCAAATATAATAGTTTAAAAACATTGACAGATGCAGTTTTGAGTATTTCTAAAGTACTATAAAATACTTACACAAAAAAACAAGAAACAGTTTCTGTATTTTGGTGAAAACCTAATTTTTTTCATGGTAAGGTTGACATTTGCACGGAATTGCTTGTCTACTAAAATATTACTTTACAAAATGTATTGTAAATAAATCATATGAACATTTTCATATTAGTTAATAATATTATTAATATATATACACAATAAATATACGTAATGATGGGCTAAAATCTGCCCATTCCTGTGTGCGCAGATTCTGTGTGGGCCTATACTCGTTTGTTATACTGCTATAGTTGTTTAATTACCATAGAGCAACTGTAGCATCACCACAACAGATTGATTCAAGTCCTTGGTCCAAAACACTATAGTATTTACGTCAAATGATTATAGTGTTTTTCCAAAACCTCCCACATTATTCTCCTCATGCTTGTTTGTGGCCTCTGATATTTGGCAAACGCACAGATCCGGTTATCTGCAGCATTCCTCATTACTCTCCAGGGATTTCGCTTCACTAAATCTTGCGCTTGTTTGACAGTGAATGTCTTTTTTGTGTCTCTCTACCTAAAAGAAAATCACCAACATAGGCTACACACAAAAATAAATAAGAAATTTGTTCATGAAATATTATTATTTCTTTCCTGTTCCTATATTTACTACTTAATTTATTTATTTTTTGTTGATGAAGTGACTTTACTATCATTGAGCCAATGATTACGTCACACTTTGACTTTTGACCTCAGCCCAACAAAAAAACTCCAATATTGTTTTCCAGATGTGCTCATATATAATCAAAAACATTTGAAACATAATAGTTTCCTTGAATAATACAACTTTAAATGAGCTATGGGCTATCATTTAGCAGGACAGCTGCATCAAAACCCGCTGTATTAATAACTGTACACTAAACCAAGTCCAGTTTTAGCTCCATAACTCCATAACATACGTCACTGGCTCCATCCAGATCTTTCCTCACAGTCCAAACCCCTCTTTAAACTAGCCTATTAGCACACAAACCCACAATAGAGTATAATAAACTCACCTTTGCTTAGCTGGTGTGTATTTCTGTCCCCGTTAGTGTGTTTCTGCTGTAGACAGTGAGACAGTTACACTTACGGCACACAAAAGTTTCTCCAGAGCATCAACTTGAGGGAGAAGCCCCGCCCATTTTACTCTCTGCCAATCAGAGTGCTGCGTTTGCCCAAACAGAGCCCGCCCACAGCAGGGAGTTAGCCATATTAGGGCAAGGAATGTTCGGCCTGTCTCTGTGTGCGACACTCTGAGGAATCAAAAAGAAATGACAGGAAAAGAGATAAGCTGCCTTATTTAGTGAAAACTGCTCTGTCTGTGAGGGATCAACGCGTTTAAGATCCTCATGTGTCTAGGTTAGCACAGGCATTTTCAAGCTTTCAGATGACATAAAGCAGTTCTATAATTGAAGGTAAACTTTGTGAAGGTAAACTTATTAGCCCCCCAACAATGTTATTAGTTTTCACAG